AGTTTTCAATCGTTACGTTTTGTTATACTTTTTTAGTGTTAAGGGGACAACCATTTGATATTCTGGGGGGGGCCAGGAGGATTTTGAAAATAAATAACTCAGCCTTGATAATCACAAAAATAAATGGTTTGTTCTGTGGTAGTTTGAAAATAAATAACCTGACTTGCAATGTATTAAAAATAAATAACTCGGCAGGTCTATTTGAGAGCATGAGATTGCACCAGATATTCATAAAATTCAACTTTTTATTCAAAAAAAATCGGGAATCACTTCCCAAATCTTTGAATAATAAAAGTATAAATATTATTTAAAATACTTGAAATGTCTGAAAAATGGGTTTCATTTAACTTGAGGTATATTGTCTCAGGAACACTTAACTTACTTTTATTACATATGGCAGTAACTACATTCAGGCAAATGCCTCATGTAGGAAATTTCAAAACCAAAAGCTTGTCTTCATATCAAATTGTTTTCACGGCAAGTGTCTTGCAAGAAGCAAGTTCTGTTCTCCCTCAGACGTAGCTCCTGTTTTTTGGGGATCAATGTTTCTTATTTATTTGTCTTTTGTTCATTGATTGCCCTTCTGTATTCTGATAGTGTTGCATTCCTTTTGTAATTTAGTAATTTTGTTATTAACTTGATCAAGAGTTAAAAAAAAAAAAAACAGCAGCCACATACTTAACTATGTGAATTAAATTTTTGCTTTATCTTTGTCTTTTGATGTTGTTCCTAAAAACTTAAGTCTTACACTGAATCTATACATGTTGCTTTGAGACCAAAATATTGTCAAAAAATGATTAAAACAGAAATTTCATTTTCAGATTAAGAAAGGGTATGGGAAACACATTTTGCATCATTAGTTCTATAGCAACTTGTGGCCTTCAGCAGCTCCAAAACCCTTAAATTTTTTTTAGCCTCGCTCCGCTCGGCATAAATGATTTGCAATACTTTTAAAAGACACTAATTACAGCCAAACTTTAATATCTTGTATGTATGCAATACATGTATATGCAGTTAGGAATTCAGAAGATTCATTTCTACAGATGATGATGATTAACTCTGATTAAATGGTACATAATGATTGGACTATTCATGTATTATTTATAATAAAAATTGTATGTTTTCAAATATTATAAATATAGTTGTGAAAATAAATAATCAGTCCCTTGCTTTAATGAAAATGAAAAATCTTGCTTCAACAGTGCAGAAAATAGATAATCTGTCCTCTTAGTTTACAAAAATAAATAACCGATCAAAAACAAATCCTCCTGGCCCCCCCCAGAATATCAAATGGTCGTCCCCTAATCTCAGCAAAGACAAATTTGGTGATAAAAATCGATTTGTTGGTCTTTCCTAAAATTGAAAAAAAAAAAAAACATACGTCATAATGTAATCTTATAAAAGGGGGGGGGGGGGGGCGATGGAAGAAATTTAATATTGATCCTTCAAGGGACAAGTGAACGTGGGAGATATTCATTCCCTACTGTAAAATATTGAGTTTTTGGTTGATTAATGTCGCCGGGTATGTCTGACGTACCGAATAATATATGATAGGTACATGTAGGTCTTTTAATTGAGACCGCCCGTGATACGGTCGGAAAATTTCGACTGCAAACGAAAAAGGAGGGACAGAAAATTGACCTAATACCAGGCTACTTACAGTCCACTCGAAGAATTGTTGCAAGGATTCAACGTCCCCATTCGTACGTGGCTGAGCACAGCCCAATGGACGTTCCACTATCATTACTGCTAAGGATTTATTGCCGGTCAGAAGAAGACCTGTAACGACGCTATTTCTATAGCGACTCTAGTTCGCTAACGAATTCGCTTCTTGTTCCATTGAATATAAAGGAAAGAGTTATCTAATATATATATATATATATACACAAGTCTAAATTGAAAACAACGTTCAAACCTATGATTGCGTTGGATTAAAACCGCAATTTTTATACGTGTGCATGCAAAACAAATTTCTTGGTAGTGGGGTCTTAATACAGCGCAAACAACATTTTCCAAAAGACCAAATGAGTGAAAAAGTATATTTTAACAAAACGCATTTGACTAGCAGGTCGAAAACTGATGTTCTTAAACCCTGCTGACTGCCATTGGCGATTGCCAAATAAACGGATCACAAGATGTAACAAAATAGATCTTATTATTATTAATTTATTACCAAACAGAAAACAATAAACTTGCGGAAAAGATGGTAAACCGCAAACATGAGGTGCAAAAATGTGTACAACATATCCGGATTTCGACAATTATATATATATATTTTTCTTGAACTACTATAAATAAAGTAGTTCATTTTAAAATGTATTCTTTAAAGGTTAAGAAAACAATAAGTTAAAATGGCTGGTACATACATGGCTTCATGGCTAATACCAAAAAGGTATAGTCAATTTCCCGTTTATTTTTTTTCGTTGTTTGGTTCACATGTTCAAATTTAATAAATTGATGAATTTAATAATTTATTGATATCCTAAATCCTTTTTAATATATTTACTTCGGTAGAAAAGAAAGTTAATCTTCTCATCTGGACTTTAATCTGCATATCTATTATCTATTTTGGGATTGAAAAAAAATATCTTTAAAAAATGCGGTTTCGAGCCTATTTCTTCATTTTAATTTCGTTACACGTTCAGCAATAACTGATACAAATATGATGTATTACCAATGATAAGGCCATATATTTGAAGCTGTTCAAAATTTTGTACATTATAGGTACGTGTATCAGATCGGACATTTTTTTTTAATTGTTCTATATAAATAATCTTACTATAAGTTATCTCATGTCTAAACAAAATGTTACTATGAGTGACTTCTAATGAGTTTTGATTGATAATTTTTTGTCTAATTCAGTCAGTAAAAGTTTGGTTTTTTTTTACACGAGAAGGTCTACTAAAAAGTTTATGATGATTTTTTTTTTCAGCATAACAAACGGATACTCTTTAATGTACACTAGGTGGACTTTCCTCTGTTCCGATGAAGGCAGTGCACGTCTTTCATTTAAAAGATTAATTCGTAGTTTTGCAACAGACGGCGGCACATCGGGCATTGACTTTGATTTTATAATTTGTAACAATTATGATTAACCATATATTTATGAGTTATAACAAAATTATTTTTTTGTACATCTTTATTTAAGATGATCGAGATTTGAGAATGATATGAAAATAATAAAATATATATTACAAAAAAAAAGTTATCTCAGGTCTAGTTATCTAGTATGAAATATATCCACTGGAAATAAGCCCTTGAAAACACAAATCCCCGTTTACTCATTGCGAAGTTTATTTGCTAGTGTTTTATTTTTTTAATCTTTTTTTTAATGATTTTATTATATTATCTTTTTTGTGAAAATTTTGAGTGGTTGAACATGAAATGGACACCGATGCTACAAAGAAAATTTGTTTAATGTCATCTGTTGCAATATATACTAAGTATTACACGTGGACAGGATGTTCCCCAGAACATTAAGGTATTCAAAATAAGTTATACACACCCCAAGGGTACACGCCACTGTCATATGGAAAATTACTGGGTCACCAGTAAACTGGTAATCAGCCATGCAACTAATCAGTTGACTGACCATGCCACTACAATTTAAAAAGTTTGTCGTTAGGTCAAAATGAAATATTTATTTTAATTTAAAATTGAAGAACTAAAAGGATTTATCATAATTATGAAGGGAAATAATTCAACAAAATCGAATTATTTCCCAAAAGATTATATATTTTTTAATTTTTTTCCGGGGAAAATAGAAAACTGTATATATAAAGGGTCCCATCAAGGATTTTATAGAAATATTTGGTCTCATGAAATGGATCTCACACAGACATGCATAGGCCTAATTGAAATTTACACATTTATTGATTCTATGATTTCTTGAGAAATCAGGAGCGAAATATAACAAATATTTAGTTTTGATATTCAATTAAATTTACCTTTCCTCGCTATAATTCATTTGACATAACATTGAGGGATTTAAGGGTTTGTCCGTACAACGTGGTTGTCATTAGTATTTCACATGACTTATTGTTTTCGCGCTTCGCCTTGAAGCTCATTATTCAGACTGTTTCAGACAAGATGATGAAAATAACGTGCAAGGCACTTTTTTTCTGATCATCGTGAAGTGCACTCTAGCTCCCCCTCTTCAAGAATTGTATATTTATAAATCATCGTCCTTTTTAAAATTACCACACTCTTTGTGATTACCGTTATGCTATTATGCTCTATGTTGAGTACAGTAACCCGGGACTTGATTTACATGTAATATCAGGGGCGATTCCAGTCAGGATAAAGGGGGTCCAAATATCACGTGCCAAATATATGTCTCCATTAAATGCATTGATCGTTCACAAAAAGGGGAGTCAAACCCCCGGATCCCATCCCCCTTCGATCCGCTGCTGATTGTGAATATAAATATAATTGTTACTTAAAATTCATAGACTAGTACTAGCTCCCAACACCTGTTTTGGGATATACAGCTAATTAACCGTAAATATCTGTGATAAATTCTAAATGATTTGTGCTTGTATTTTCTATGTGTCAACCCTTGGTGTAAACTGGAAGTCTCGTTATAAAAGGACCCCACTGGAAATAAGTTTTACTAACTTTTGTGGGTCATCCTAAGATATTAGGCTACAGTGTAAAATCTAGTCAAGTTAAATTTCACTCATTTTTAATCTAGTCTAATCATATTATCAAAATATCATGAAAATTTTCATAATTTTATTTTTTATTTCTTAATTTAAAATTTTTAGTAAACATGTATATCATTTTAGTGTCTATAAACTATGTCTAGTGCTGTATCTATGTCTTTGTAATATTTTGTATCTGTCAAATTCATGCCTTTTTATCTTGAATAAATATATATATAACTGCGAGATAATGAATAACAAGTTGATAATTGTCTATTCTCTGCTAATTAATGTACCTGCAACTCACCCTGATTCATTTGTGAGACCACCGACACTTATAATATTACCTCAAAGTTAGTGGTTCTCCGTTACTGGGAACTTCATATCGGATCCGATCAATTTATTGGTTCCATTCCCCCTAGTATAAATGATCCATTTGCAGTGACGATGACAATCATAGGTATACTAAAAAAATTATTGTTGATTTTGCATGATAACATACATGTTATGTCGGTAAACGGACAGAAAGTCACAGGACAAAAAGTCGCAGGACATAAAGTCACAAATTGGATAGGACAAAAAGTCACAGGACAAAAAGTCACAAATAATTTGTTGACAAATGTTTGAATATATAAGAGAAAGATCTTCAAATAATTTCTTTTTTTACATTTATTCATTTTTAAGTTGAGGAAATTGTTCATAAGCCTTGATAAATGAAAAATTATTAAATTTTAATCATGCAAATGATATATTTCTTGGCACCATGAAGCCATTCAAGTACCAAACCACTTTGACATTTTGTTATCATAACAATTATTTGATCATCATTGATATTTATTGAATAAATTTTAATTACAAAGTTGCTTCATATATTATAGTTCAACAAAAAATCAAAAATTAATTTTTAAAATTAGTGTTTTCTTGTTCAGAGAAAAATAATCTCAAAACTGAGTTGTGACTTTTTGTCCTGTGACTTTTCGTCCGTGACTTTTTGTCCGTGACTTTTTGTCCTGTGACATTCTGTCCTACATTCGTTATGTCAACTCACTTCTCCTTCCTACGGCGTCAGAGAGAAAAAAAAAGCCTTGCAATGCGTCATAATTATTTGGACTACTTCCATATGACTTTAAACAAAAAAACAACAATAATTTATTTCACTGATTGAGATTGGGCTGACGAGACATTTCAGCATGTGAAATCTTAATTCTTAGTCCAAGTACACAGTTATCATCCATTGATTTTCATTTTTTACAAAAAGATTCCCTAGTGTGGACCATGTATTACTTCAAAATTTATTTATTTATATTTTTTATGCATAAAAAGTAAGTACAATGAAGTAGGGGGATGCAATTATTTTATTTTAGTTTGAGAATCACTCATACTTCTTGTATGATGTCACCTTAGCCTACAAATTACCAAAAAGAAACACATTTTTATTTCCTCTAGCTTATGTGTATGCCTTTTCATATACATGTAAAAATGTGTTACTGCCTATATTGACCTTAAATGTTATTCAGTCTTGCATGGCCTAATGTAGTCCAAATAATTATGATGTCTTTGAAGGCTATTTTAAATTTTTGCTTTGACGCCTTCCTGTCGATGTAAGGTGTCATAGAATAAAAATATAATAGCCTTTCAAGACGTCATAATTATTTGGACTAGGCCTAATGGGACCTTGTTCTACTCATGTGGTATGCTATAAGCAGATAAGTAACTTTCTTTCCTTTTGAAATACAAATAAGTTTTTAAATATACATGAAGAATTTTTATATTAGCTGCCTCCCCCCCCCCCCCCTTAATTTTGAAAATGTGACAATTTTTTTTAGGTTAAGGATGTTCGCTCCTCTTAATTTGGATTTTTACCAGATATTCGGAATCCTCTGGTTTTATCCATGCAGTGCCATTAAAAAAGTTTGCCCGCAAACCCCTACTTTTCTTTTCATATTTTATTACATAGTTTAAAAAGCCATATTTGAAAATCTTATAAAATCATTATTTTTCCATAGCTTTTGATAGAAAAAGGTGCCAGTGTTAAGTGTATGAAAAATCTAGAGAGAATCACTTACCGCCAAATTTTTAATGGGTTATATCTTAAAAACAAGCACACGGACCCTTCATTTTTTCTGTTTTTTTAGTTCCTTTATTCATATACTTTCAATTTATAACAGTCATGACTGTAGTCTTTTAAAAAGCTTGTTATTTTGAAACAGAGTAGCGAACATCCTTTTTAAAGTAGTGACTTGGTATAGTTTGAAAAGGTCAAATATTAGTATGTCTGAAGTTGTCAAATCTAAATTATAGACCATTTAAACATAAAATTGTCCATATTTTGAGTTATAGCTTATAGATTTTTCTATTATGTTAATATGTCCTGTCCCAAAAGTAGTACACTACACTGTAAAAATCTTTTTTGGATAGAGCCAGCGCAATTTTTTAAATTTGCCTTTTTAGCTCATCATTCCGAAGGAACAGTGAGATTTTGCCATCACTTGGCGTCCGTCGTCGTCTGTCGTTGTCTGTCATCAACCATTGGCGTCCGTCGGGTGTAAACTATTTCATACATCTTCTCCTGTACTGAACCAATTCCTACCAAACTTAAGCTGAATGATCTTTAGGGTAACTTCAATAAAGTTTGTGTTTTGTTTTTTGTTTCGTCGAAAAACATGGTTGTCATGGCTAAATAAGAACATAGGCGTAAATGCAGTTTTTGGCTTTTATCTCAAAACCCAAAGCATTTAGAGCAAATCTGACACAGAGTAAATTGTTCATTAGGTGTTAAAAGTTCTATCAGCCCTGAAATTTTCTGATGAATCTAATAACCCATTGTCATGATTGTTGGGTTGCTGTCACTAAATTGGTAATTTCAAGGAAAATTTGCAGTTTTTGGTTATTATCTTGAATATTATTAATGATAAAGATAAACTGTAATCAGCAAAAATGTTCAGCAAAGTAAGATCTACAAATAATTTTCTATAACCAAAATTGTCAATGGACCTCTTAAGGAGTTATTGCACATTAACGACAATTTTACACAATTTGTTTATCATGTTTTCTAACTTTAAAAAATCTTCTCCTCTGAAACTACTGAACCAATTCCAACCAAACTTAGGTTGAATGACCCTAGGGTATTTAGAATAAAGCTTGTGTTTTATTTTCTGTTTCATCAATAAACATGGCTGCCATGTCTAAAAATAGAACATAGGGGTAAAATGCAGTTTTTGGCTTATATCTCAAACACTAAGGCATTTAGAGCAAATCTTATGTGAGGTAAAATTGTTCATTATCATGATTATGTGAAGTTCTATCAGCCATTAAATTTTCTGATGAATCTAACAATCCATTGTTGGGTTGCTGCCACTAGATGGGTACTTTTAAGGAAATTTTGCAGTTTTTATATAGGTCAAAATATTGGTATGATGTTGGCGTCGTCGTCTTCGTCGTCCAAAGACACTTTGGTTTTCGCACTCTAACTTCAGTTTAAGTGAATGGATCTCTATGAAATTTTACCTTTAGGTTCAATACCCCAAAAGGAAGGTTGGGATTGATTTTGGGGGTTATGGTACCAACAGTTAAGGAATTAGGGGCCAAAAATAAGCATTTTTGTAACTTCCAGACCTAACTTGTGTGTTAGTGTATGGATCTCTCTGACATTGTACCACAAGGTTTCATATTACAAAGGGAATGCTGGGATTGATTTTGGGGGTAATTGCCTCAAAATTTTAGGAATTAGGGGCCAAAAAAGGGGTAAAAAACAAGCATTTTTCTAGTTTCATGACAATAATTTGTGTGTAAGTGTATGGATCTTTCTAAAATTGTACTACAAGGTTCCATATCACAAAGGGAAAGCTGGAATTGATTTTGGGGGTAATTGCGAAAAATGTTTATGAAAAAGGGGCCAAAAATAAGCATTTTTCTAGTTTCCAGACAATAACTTGTGTTCAAGTGTATGGATCTCTCTGAAATTGTACTGCAAGGTACCATACCACAAAGGAAAGGCTGGGATTGATTTTGGGGGTAATTGCCTCAAAATTTTAGGAATTAGGGGCAAAAAGGGGGCAAAAAACAAGCATTTTTCTAGTTTTAGAACAATAACTTGTGTGTAAGTGTATGGATCTTTATGAAATTGTACTACAAGGTTCCATATCACAAAGAGAAAGCTGGGATTGAGTTTGGGGGTAATTGCCGTAAATGTATAGGAATTTGGGGCCAAAAAGGGGCCAAAAAACAAGCATTTTTCTTGTTTCCAGACAATAACTTGTGACAAGTGTATGGATCTCTCTGAAATTGTACTGCAAGGTACCGTTCCACATAGGGAAGGCTGGGATTGAGTTTGGGGGTGATGAATCATAAGGGGGTTCACAAAATTGGGGGGGGGGGATTTTTTTTTCTTTTGTTTTCTTTAAAATTTTCCATTTTGAATTGGTTATTTCTGATTTACATATAAAAGCAAATAATAATGATATGGTTTGAATAGGTAAATTAGAAATATTTAAGTTCTTAGACCTCATTCATTTTGTGAGCCTCTTGTTTTAATTGCTTCTGTTAGTAATATATTAATTTAAAATTTTGACTACAGACACATACAGATTATACTGTTAACAATATTTCAGAGTTTAATGTTGTCAAGCACACAAATCATAGAAGAATAGTTAATCACGTCATTGTTGTCCATTGAAAAATTAGTATGAACACTATGAAAAAGTACGGGAATGTTTGGTTGTTAAACTATTGACCGTGGTTATGTCTTTGAAACTGTTGACTGGCAAATAGTCTGTGAAATGAAATAGCACAAATACTTCATTCCTTCTTTATCTCATGGTATATAGAAAAACAAATACTGATGTATAATAATAGTTATAGTCATTAAATTATAGTTTTTACTTTTTTTAAGTTTAGGGCAAGAAATATAGAAGATAAAGAAAAATATAAACAATTACGACTGTACAGTAGAAATGATCGGCAAAACAAGATAAACAGAAGACAACAAGGCCTAAATGGTAAGACCACTTCTATATAATAAAAGTGATTGCCCTTGAATGAAGACTATTATAAAAATAAGAAGATGTGGTATGGTAAATGAGTTATCTATCCACCAGAGTTCAATGAAGTGGATGCAAGCAATTAAAGACCAATGACGGCCTTCGATAATGAGAAAACCCATACCTTATAAGTCAGCCAATATAGACCTAACATGAAAAGATTTAAACAATCCAAATTAGTTCAAAGCCAATAACAATTAATAAAAAAATCATGTCTGTGAGCACTCCACCTAACCATAATCTAGGACAGTGGTTCAAATAGCACAACATATGAACAAACTGTAAAAACTGTTGAAAGTGGCTCAACTCATTATCACTGCAAGGCACTAAAACGACTGATATTAAGTCAAGGACACAAAGCACTGAAATAACAGAACTCATAATCATGATTAGTAAGAATATCAAATTTAAGTTTCTCAAAATGTTCATATTAAACATGATAAAATAAGCTTATTTCATATTGCTGTTTTTTTCTCAATTTATATATTGTGTATTTATAGGTGAGACTTCTTGGTTTTCATGATCATCAACAGGTCAATACAGAAGAGGAAACTTAAGGTTAATACTTATCTACATTGTGTGCTAATTGGATTAATGTGAAATGAAATGTGGGCTTACCTGGAAAAAGAAAATAGGAAATTTCTACAAAATGGCTGTAAACAAAATGGAGTACAATCATAGATGCACAAGAACACAATTGTGTAATTGCAACAACCTAAATATTCACTGAAGGATTATGGAGAAATGTAGAAAAAATAGTATTTTGTTGTCGAAATAAACACCTGCTTTATCCATTCATGTACATAGCTCTGTCATATCAAATATACAGAGGAAGATGTTTGAAGAACAAATTGCAAAAATGTATTCTCTACCAATTGAAGGAAGATGTCTGGTGGATGGAATTATTTATGCACTGAACTGTTATGTAGGGGATTGAATAATTGTACGCAGCAGCTTAAACAGAAGAAAAGTTAAATTAACATGAAAAGTGTTTATTTTATTTAATCTGCAAATATGAGCACAATATTAATAACATCACAAATAGTATGATATTCATAGCGTTTTGCTTATTATTGTATTGTCTCAAACAGCTAGCCTATTGTTTTTGTATGTCATGTTACTCATCAGTGAACATTTTATTAAAGTTTTAATTATCTTTTGTGTCAATTGTTCAGTCTCAGGAAAAATTATATTCATACCGTTTTTACTGTTATGAAATTTTCATAGAGGAAAATTGAATAACAGAAATTTCCATAGAGGAAATTTGGAGAACAATGTTTTCCTTAGAGGAAATTTGTGGTCTTGAATTTTCCCTCAAGGAAAAGTGTTTGTCAAAAATTTCCTCACAGGAAATTGCTGTTGACAAAATTTCCTCACAGGAAAAAGTATTTCCTCAAAGGAAAATTTGAAGCCGCAAATTTCCTCACAGGAAAAAATATTTCCTCAGAGGAAATAGAATTTCCTCAAAGGAAAATTTGAAGCCGCAAATTTCCTCAGAGGAAATAGAATTTCCTCAAAGGAAATATTAATGCAGCAAATTCCCTAAGGGAAATCTTTTTCCCTTGAGGAAAATACAATTTCCCTTGAGGAAAAATCTTTTTCCTTCAGGGAAATTTGATTTCCCTTGAGGAAAACTACTTTTCCTCTGAGGAAATTGTTGAAAAAAGGGGCATAACTTTTTCAACAGTGGTGCTAGAGCCAAAATTTTTAAGGACAAATATCAGGGAACCAATACCAACCAAGTTATCAACTTCATTTTGACTTAACTCCAAAAATTAAGGTGACAACTTTTGCACTCAGCGGAAGTGCAAACTTGTCCCGGAGACTGTTCAGTACTTCAGCACAAATATGCTCGCTAAACATGTTTAGGATGGGAACTTAAAGGAGGCTAAACATGTTTAGGATTGGAACATGATGGAGGCCAACCATGTTAAGGATCGGAACATGACGGAGGTTTAAAATTTTTAGGAAAGGAACACATAGAGGCTAAACCTGTTTTAGAGGGCTAAACATATTTAGGGTTAAACATGATCTTAGGGTACAGTATTATGGTGTTCTAGACCTAAACATGTACAAAAAGTAGAACATGTTTAGGGTTAAACATGTGCTCAAGTTAGAACAAAATTCGCGATTAGGATTATGTTTAGACTCTAAACACCATTTTTACAGTGTAGGGTTTACAAAATGGCTGAAAGAACAAAGTTCTAGTTGTTGACCATATACAATTCGGTATATGTCATTTAATCTGCCTGGCTCGGGTGAACTTACTTGACACGAACGACGCAGGAGTTCGGATTAATGGGTCATCCCGACCGTGCAGATTAATTGATATATACCGGTTTGATTGGTCAATAACTGTTTTAACACGACGCCATAAATTTACATGAACGTTTCGGAAATATTTGGACGATACTCAATCCACGGCTCTTGGGAAAGTTTTCTTGTATGGTAAAGAAAGGGCAAAATACGCATTTAAGTACTAAAAGTTTGTACATGTAACTTTTTAATCATAACTTTTTTGATATTCAGGCTTTCTCCTAAATTGCTACAGTATTTGGAGAATTGTGTTTTAATAGCAGATCTTTGATTGTTTCTGTTAAATTCATTCCCAATTTTTTTTATATATAAATTCGTGACAATCAAATCAAATAATTTTTCTTTTAAGTAGGCAAGATAAATAACAATGCAACATAAGCTCGTAGTGACCTTTTGAACCGACATAGACGATTTAGAACTTGACATGATATTAGACACCTGTCAATTGCTTAACACTATATGTTGCCCTCTAGATGTGCGGGCATAGGACATATGAGCGAAAATTTAAAAAAAAGCACATAGGGTCATATGAGCGCCGACATCATAGGACATTTCAGCGCCGGAATATTAACCTTACCTGGATTTTCAAATAGGACGTTTGAGCGAAATTTCCTGTGATACTTTTATATCAATTAAGAAATTATTTTTAGTAAAAAGTAAGAAAAAAAGAGGAAGTTTTTAAAATAAATATATTTTATTTGATTTTACACCCGAGTAATTCGTCTGGTTCTAGCTAGTTAATGGTACTGTAGTCCGAAGTCGATCTCTACTTACCAGTCAATACTTCTATAATTCATTGGTTATGCAATTTTAGGATACAATAGGATATAAATTTCAAGTTCGAACTGACTTGTAAATAATACCATTGCCGATCGCGAGTTTTAAGTTTTATGACAGTGCTTTGTTTTTGTTTTTGTTTTTACATTTAAAAGATGTTTTTACTTTGTGCATTATTAACTCAACATCTTATTAACTATATCCTGCTCGAAATCCTACGTCCACCTTCCAGTGGTTAGCAGTGACAACAGGTTATATCTGGCGAACGGAAGAGGTACTCCATCGTTCTTAATTTTTGTTCGCTCAAATGTCCTAACATTTCGGCGCTCAAATGTCCTTTTTATCGCCCAAATGTCCAATGCCGAGATATGCTTGGGTAGTTTTTGTCGTTTGATTGTTTTCTTATTGACATATAATAAGTCAGGAGCCTGTAGTTGTCGTTTGTTGCTGTATACCATATTTGTTTTTCGTTCATTGCCATAAATCAGGCCGTTAGTTTTCTCGTTTGAATTGTTTTACATGCGTCAATTCGGGGCCTTTTGTAACTGACCTGGGAACAGTATATCTAACGTCAATATATATGTTCCTGAACTGACTATGCGGTGTGGGTTTTGCTCATTTTTGAAGACCGTACGGTGACCTATAGCTGTTAACTTCTATGTCATTTGGTCTCTGATGGAGAGTTGTCTCATTGGCAATTATACAACATCTTCTTAGTTCTATCTATAACCCACATCTCCTACAGTTTAAGTTCCGTTTGATGTATTTGAAATTGGTGTATGACAAATCATAAATGAAAAAGTTATTGAGTATAGATTAATTGCTTTTCTTTCCCTCAAGAATATGCTCAGAGGAAGATAATCGATGAGAGGTGTACTTAAATTGATTGTACAAAATAAACAAATAAAAAAAACGTGCCACCTTTCAATTTTAAACTCCCCCTTTCTCCTTATAGATTTTCATCTTTATTCATTCGGAAGACATGTTCCATCTAAACGAAGTCTGATTGATCTCCAACTTACTTGTATACTTTTTTTTACATGAATATCAACCTAATTAAATTCGATCCTGAAATATTCATTCAAAAGGAATGAGTATTTAAAAAGTCGTAATAAATTCCATTGAGAGCAAAACTTATCCAAATCAAGTTTCATCTATTTGGATATTTTAAGAAATTACAAAATTTTGTTTATCTTGTTTGACTTTGAAACACTGATTTAAGATTTAAATTGTACACATAATATCATAAAGTGTTCTAAGGAATTAGACGCACTTTCCATTTCATGATTTGAAACGACAAAGTGTATACAAAGTTGTCCGAATGGAAAATATAATCCTAAAATCCTAAAACTTTGTTTTTACGCCCCTATGCCTTTGAAAAATCCTGGATCCACCCCTAAAGATAAGAATACATTTGAACTGTACAGTATATCTGAGGTAGTGAATGCACACCTTAGCTGTGCATTATCATTATAGCACAGTAAGAACATAGAGATTTTGCCTATGTCATGTGTTACATTTTTGTAATCATGGATTAATGAACAGTATATAAATAAATACTCACCAAAATAGTTTAATCTTATCCAACAAATTGTTAATTATAAAGAGCTGCATGAAACAATTGCTTTTTTTGGTCTACATTTAGTACAATGAATAAGTAAACTGCGCAAAAAGTCAAGTACAAAATGTAACAGTGTCTAAACTTAATATTACTGCGCAGATTAGCACTATTAATAGAGGTTACCTCTTGGCATCTATGAATATGAAAAAAAGACTCACAATTTCGTCGGAAAGCAAATTGATGTTCCGTAAACACGTGATTTATAACATGGAATTCTATACTGTACTTTTAAAGAATGTAAATGTTTTTACTTATAATGTTTTGATTACTTTTCCCTGAAAATACAGTAACTAATACCAGGGATACTCGGACTAACGCTGTGAACCGAGTAAATTGTTAAAACAGCAGATAGGCAATGAAAGTTATTTACTTTCAAAACAACTATCGTTTTCCCTATAACATACATGAAACGAGCTTTGTTTTCTCTTCTGTATAAAAAAAACTCTAAACAGACTAGGGGAAAGGGGGGGGGGGATAAGATACAATACAAGTTGTAAATGTATTTACAAAATTTTCATCACGCCATGTTTAAACAATAATGAACACAAATAGTAATGTTTATTACCCCCTCCATCTTCTAATCGGTGGTCAGTCATCACCTTGAACATGGAACAGTCGAATTTCAAAAGGAAGGGATTCTTCTAATCGGTGGTCAGTCATGACCTTGAACACGGAACAGTCTAATTTCAAAAGGAAGGGATTCCAATTTTGGTAAATTTTATGAAGGACTCATTTATTTTTTTAAAAAGATACCTAGCATCTGTATATTTTTTTTGGAAACTAATTTGCCCAATCTTTTATATTGATTAATTGGATTTTTAAAGGATGTGATACCAATTTTCGTTAATTTCCTGGAAGACTCTCAGAACAGTAATAATTGGGAAAAACATCAAGCAACAATATACTTTGGAAAAAGGGAAAACCCAAACATAATTATGGTTCTATTGAATATCAAATGGAGGGGATTCTTAAATATATTATTTTCCTGAAAGACTATTAGAACAATACTGATTTGAGGAATTACCTAGTATCCGTATTATTATTTTGATTGATATTTAATTTCCCGGGAGGCGCTCTTAATAAAAAAAAAATCTTTAAGAAGGCAACAACATTATAACAAAAAAAACGATTAGTCGAGTATCATTTTGGTATTCGATACTCGGTACTACCGAGCGATACTCGAGTACTCGAGTACTCGTTGACATCCCTAATTATAACGTTAATATATTTACAATTGTATTAAAACTTTTGATTGGCAAGTTAGCAATGAAAGATTCGACTAAACAATTTGTTCACACTCATGTCCTCCTACTGTAAACGGTAACCGTAATTGAATAGTTTAAAAGGGAGCATTAGGCCAATGGGATAAACAACCATTAGTCGAAGAAAAACATACAATATGTTTCAAAGACGAACAAGCAAAAATCATTCCAAAAATACTATACAGAAACACAAAATTAGAGCAAAACGATCTCAATACAAAACCCGAGCGTGATCGCCTGAAGGATCAGCAATTACTTTTCCACTTGTGTCATCAGTTGTGTTTTTCCTGGTAAAGTCCGTTGGCGTCACTCAAATTCAAACCGTAAATATCTCTTTTATAACTCTAAGACACTCCTTAATTTATAAACTATCGGCACAGGTAAATTGCTTAACCTTAAAATATATAACTTTGAAAAGAAAGTAGTAATTTCCCTTGACATAATACAGTAAAACAGACAATAGGGCCTTTCACGGTTATTGAAGCTATATTGAATAGGGGGCAGATTTTCATAATGGAGATGCAAATGGTTTGAAAAATACGGGAAAAAATCACTGAAACAGAACAGTTTCTTTGAAACATGCATATGATTTCCCGTACTTTCATACTATTTCCACTCCTATCCAAAAAATCTGCCCCCTATTCAATATGGCTGCATTAACCGTGAAGGGGCATATTGAAAGAATGGAAAGGCACAGAGAAAACAGAGAAAATGTGTCTAATTTAAGTTGTGTGTGGTCCCTTTTTGCTGTAGTAAGCATATGAAATAAGTTAGATTTAACTAGACTCTACTATTTCGTGTTCAATGCGTTTACATCGTAAATGATAAATGCAATATAGAACCTCCTAATAAGTTAAAAACGATTATAATCAATAGTATACAGTTTATTACGTATAACACATACCATGCATATCTATTTGAGTGTCGAGTATTCAGTATAAAGATTAATACAATTAAACAAATAAATACTTTGTAATAAATTGCCTAAAAGTGTAATTTTAACAGACTAATTAATTACACTGTAAGGCAATTTATATAAATATATATATATGCGTAAAAATTGTATAAAACAACAACAAATTTTAAATTAGAAAAACAATAAGGTCTTTCCTAACGGTGTGGAAAGACCTTAAAAAGGGAATAAATAGTAAAATAAGTATCAATAAATATTCCGGATAACGGATATCCTTCATCAGTATGATCAGGATAATGTAAAATCAACCATATAAATATATTCTGATTTTCTAAAACAATCTTTAACGTAATACAAATTAAAAACCGAACCACGCTTGTATAATTCTAAATTTCAAACAGAAAATGCATAGATATGCATCCAAAAAGAATAGTAATGTGCGATATGAACTAGTATAATTATAGAATTTCAGAGTTGACGGAGGTTTAGTTATTACAACACAGACTTCGTAGATATACGTCCCCCATGAATAACACTGTCCGATTTGAACTAGTATAATTCTCAAATTTCAAAGTTGAGGAAGGTTAAGTAATTACAAAATGTACAACAGAGGCAGCGTATTTATATATTGAAAACTGTTTCCGAAAAATGTACTTACAATGAAACAAGTAACCAGTTTAAAACACTCTAGATATGTAAATAATAACGCATTACAGTTTTTCGCTCATTTATAATTTTTAACTTTTGCGGATATCCGGGAAATTATGAGTTCCTGTGTACATGATCATCAGCAAATAATATCAACGTCGCATCAACATAATATTGAAATGTTTTGTGCATACTGACCAAAAATAAAGAGAAAATTTGATATCGAAAAACTTTACTCCTCAAAACTACTACATGTATTAAATGTAATCTTCTCATATATGGGTGGCGCGAAGATATGAGAAGACTACATGTACATCTGATTTATGTAGAAAAAATAAATAATCGTTTTTATCTTTTCTCTTGTTGTAAAAAGAGCAAGCTGTTTTGATAAAACAGGAAAAGTGTCATTATCTCAAATTTTCAGATGCAGTAACACTTTCAGAAGATGTTTTGTAGTTATGGATTTGAAATAAAAACTTAATTGTGTCCATTTCAAGTTCTGTCATCAAATTGATACATCATCACTGCTTTTGTGTGGCAATATGAATCGCTATACTATCTTACCTTTTATGATTTATTAGCCAAAACCTTAACTTTTGCTTATAAATGATAACACTTCTGAGTAAATAAAATTACAGATAAAGCCGAATTTTCGTTTCCAAAGGTCCTAATTGGATTGTTTTCCTTAGAGGTCATGATAGGATTTTTTTCTCTCAAGGGTCATGATATCATTTTTCACTTACATGTAGATGTCATGATACTTTAGATTTATTTTTCCTCAGAGGCTCAGCATGCAGTTCTTAATTTGCTTTTCTCTAGATCCTTGGTATTTGAGAAATAAAGCAAACTTTTTACAAGAACAAGATAAAACAAAATTATACTCACAGATGGTACAAAAAGCATTATTATACTTCATGTCATAATGCGGGATTCTAATTGGTTAATACGAGGGAGATATTTTACTCTAACTCATGGCAAAAACTCTATTACCCTTCACGGAGACGCTTGATCATTTGTGCGCAATATGGATGGTTGTTATGTACAAGAGGTCATAGTTTATGATGGGTAACAATCTGCTCTATTACCCTCTCATCTATGTGTTATTTATGTTTATATTGGCATAGTTTAACTATGGAATGTTTGGGAATTATATATAGCATAAGAATCATTTTCTCTAAAAAAAATATTGAGAACCGACAAATGAACCCATTTTCTGAACATGCGTACAGTTCTACATGCAACTATGTGAAATCATTTATATTAGGTATAATATATTACATATTATATCATACTCTTTTATATTATATCTGGTAAGTTATGATCAAATTAAAAAGTTATCGAATAAATAAATTTATTGCACAACTATTATATGTATTTTTCATGTTCTGTTGTCACTACGAACGGAAGGGAATGCTTTCCGAAGCATGGTAAATAAAATTGTTTATTTATTACATCAACCTTTTGTGTATAATGAGTAGAATGATTATGGAGAAGCGTGCCTTCAGAAAAAAAACGTTTGAACTGCCATCGACACTGCCTTAAAATAATTGCTCTTTAACAGAATGGAAAATTATTGCATTCCAGTAGGATGAATTATGACATACAATCTACACGTTATAATTCAATCAATCTGAATCAGTCAAATCAAGAACCGCCAAAATGTTTTTCGCCGTGTTAATTGACATACTCTTTCTCGCCTCTTTTGTGCTGGTACCCATGTGAGGCAGAATGACACAATTCGGTAGAGACACCAGCGGATGGTCTGACGGAAGTGGTTCCGGTTCAGTGACATCAAGGCCGGCAGCTGAAATCTGACTGGATGTTAACGCAATATACAAGTCATCATGTTGGACAATTCCTCCTCTTGATGTATTTATCAAGACAGGTTTCCTTTTCATTTTATTAAAAGTATTTTGATTGAACAAATGCTTCGTAAGTGACGTCATTGCACAACATATGCAAATGATGTCCGATTTCTCTAAAAGGTCGTCGAACGGGACAAACGTAGCGATCTCTTTTGCAAATTCCTGTGTTCGGATATCGTTATAAATAATTTCTTTGACTCCAAACGGTTTAAGTCGCCTCGCAACACCAAAGCCAACACGGCCAAATCCCAGAATACCAATGGTTTTTGACATCATATTTGAACCACATAGCCACATGGGTTTCCACTGTGACCACTGACCTTGTCGCACTGCGTCTACTCCTTAAATGAAAAAATGCATCCATAAATTGTATTGCTTGTGTGAAATTGTCAATTCCATAGGTTCTTATAACTGTAAATCACACAAATATATAGTAAAAATTAGGAGATGTGGTATGATTGCCAATGAGACAACTATATCCACCACAGTTCAAATGAAGAGGATGTAAGCAATTATAGGCACCCGTACGACCTCAACAATAAGAAAACCCCATACCGTATAGTCGGCTATAAAAGGCTATATTTGATCACTATATATGTTGTAAAATATATTTTATTTTGACGTGCACCGATCACCATTAACATGTGTCACCATGCATCAGTATTTTTCTAGAGACATGTCTGATCGAAATTTTAATTGCGATTCAATAAAAAAAAACAGATATGTGTAACTTATCGTGGTCGCACAAGTACAGGGCAAAAATGTTTACTCTTCCGAAAAATTGAACATTTTTTAGACCTAATAGTATGGTGTGAAACTATATTCGAAATTTGCAACTAACTCACTCCAAAGTTACAAGAAATTATAGGAGAACGAAAACATGTCCATTCCAAAAGTGTATTACCGTTTAATCTAAATTCCGACAATTTTTTACCAATATATAATAATTCAGACCAATATTTATCATTTCTTGTCATACCTACATATATTTTTGTTCCTTGTCATACATGTACCTACATATATACAATAATTTCTTGTCATATTGACAGGTATTTTGATTATTTTTTTTTAACAATTTTCCCATTCCCATTCAATAATTTCAAGCTAAGAATTTCTCTGTAAACGTTACTCAAATAAACATTCTCTCTACTTATATAAAAGCAACCGGCTAGGAATTAGAACAAGAGCCTCCAAGAAATATTACCTTCAACAAGACGTCTTGTTGTCATTAGGACAAGCGCCAGGGTCAGATCAGCGGCACTGTCCGAAGCTATGTCCGGGGTGTTAGAGACGAAAACTCCCCTCCTCTTACACTCCTTCAGATCAATATGGTCCGTCCCAACGGACATTGTAGCCACAACTCTGAGGTCAGGACCTACAAAAATCTTTAATATGTACTGGACAAAAAAACTATGGCTCACTTCTATTTGATTTGAAATATTTTCATCCTGCTGAATATGCAAACCCTTGAGCCGTGTATGATTCATTTATATCATATACTTTATATTTTAAATCATTTATATTTATCTCATTTTCGTATTTCCCTTATTGCTATCACCTCGCAGCATATCAATCAATAGGTGGAGACTTTTTTTTATAAATAGTTCCGATCAGTTTTCAACGTTTGGACACAGCGCCATATTATTTTGAAATCGGTCGAAATTGTTCAAAAACTTTTATATTAGAATAATTATGTTGTAACTCAATGTATTTATAATGCAAAAAAAACGTATGATTATCTACCTTCTACATTTTTAAAGTACTTTTAATGCATTTTAAAATAACATTAAAAGTAGCGTTGCTTTTATTCCCACTTCGTAATTACAAAAATAAATATTTCAACGAGTAACAGTCCAGACATGCATATTAAAGTTATGCGGAATTGCGTTTTTCGTGTATTTGTTGTTATTTCAAAGATGATGTTTATAAAAATCAGACATTTACTGACCTAAATCAGTTTTAAACAACAGATTTTATTCTCATATACAAACACATGCACATTCATAAATACATACCAGCAGCATCTAAGAATTCAGCATCGATCGTTTCTGTTATCAAACAAAATATTCCGTTAATTCCTTTTGCATTCTCTAATAAAGTCTTTCTCGGAATAACTTCATCGTCATCCCATATTTTCACTTCACATTTACGTTGCAGAAGTTCCAATCCATCTACCGGTACCCGGCGAGTAACGTACACTTTTGGGTTAGACATATTGTACGAGGTGTTTTTCAAAGAATCAGACTATAAGTATAAACAACTCGTCAATATAATTTTTGACATGCGCATTGCTATTCTCCTTGAGGTTTGTTATTTTGAACCAAATACAGGACAAGGATGTTTTACGAACAAAATAAAAACAGGTATCTATTTAAAAAACAATCACCTCGCTAGGTATTCTAGGTGCATGTGTGCATATTCGATAATGTCTAAGTACTTCTAGATTATGCAACATGCATGCATGTCTTTATATATACATCTAATCAAAACACATCAAAACATGTCTAACTTCCACAAGTGAATAAGCTTCAATTTGATATGAATTTTAAATCGTGGTTTATGTCCTTATAGTACTGAGGATAATATACATGGTTGACATTGGTAAACCAACTTGACATGTATTTGATGTTTAAAGATATATGGTGTTGTTGGGTTTTTGTTTGTCCTGTGGCAAATACTTCTTAAATATTCAGGAATTGGTGACTGGTGCAGTTTGCTCTACCTGTATCCTGGGACATTATACATTAGTATAATAGTCCCAGCTGTGTCAGTTAAAATGCAACTGACAATAAACATACATAATGGCTTGCAAAATTTTGTTCGTAATAGAATATTTAATAAGAGATGTTTAATTGGTTTGAAGAGACTATCAATATCGTCAGAGTCATCCGTCCTGATTCAAAATAAATAAAAGAATGAACGAAGGTGAAAGAAATGGAAGTGTGCAATATATGTCAATGAGATGGCAACCCAATGACATAAATTAGCTAAGAGGTCAGCATACAATCTTCAACAATAAACAGGTGGTTGTATTGTATAAACAATAGATATAAGAAGATGTGGTATGAGTCCCAATGAGACAACTCTCCATCCAAGTCACAATTTGTAAAAGTAAACCATTATAGGTCAAAGTACGGCCTTCAACACGGATCCTTGGCTCACACCGAACAGCAAGCTATCATGAAAGGACCCCAAAAATGAATAGTGTAAACCCATTCAAACAGGAAAACCAACGGTCTAATCTGTATAAAAAACGAGAAACGAGAAACACTTATGAACCACATCAACAAACGACAACCAATGAACATCAGGTTCCGGACTTAGGACAGGTGCAAACGAATGCAGTGGGTTTAAACGTTTAAATAGGCGCCAACCTTCGCCCTACCTGAAACAATAGTGTAACATCACAACATAGAAAGACACATTATAAAATATCAATTGAAATGGCTTAACTCAATCAAATTTTTAAAGACATATTAACAAAAACAAGTGAACATACACTGAACGAATAAATTTGATCTATGACACAATGTAAATACAAAGTTAATAAAACAAGGGGGTAAGATGTTTGACAATATCAGAAAGACAACCATAACCTTGGACAAAATGCTGCCAAATAAAATAACGTACACAGGTAAATAAAAATAATTTTGTTGTAAGGTATACATGGAGTACGATAATAATTTTTACAAAATAAATAACTTTGTTGTTCCTAGTACGAGAACATAAGTAAATGTCTATTTTTAAATGAAAATCTTCCTTTTCTAAAAAAAAATCCAATACTAATTAACAACTCTTTAACAGTGAATAAAGACATTAGTAAGCAGTTTAACCATTACTCAATCCATCACCAGTTGGTTCTTAGGAATCAGTATTATCTTAGTTCTTAACCGTGCCACCATCATTTTTTGGATTTGAGTGACAGCACAATATGTAGTTAACTTGCATTTGAATGTTTACTGACCAAACTAATATCGTTTATGATATAGTTGCTTATTCCTATTAATAGGATTAACTGACTGAAAAAACAAATAGCCATCAAAGAAATAAAATCAATAATCCCCCCTACACACACACACACACACACACACACACACTTTCTTTCCCCCGGAAATTCTTTTTCACACAGTTGACACTTGTTTATTATCTCTTGTTCTACTTAGGAATACTGTAGTAGGTTAACTCCCACGGGAATACAAAGGTGATCTAAAAATAAAATATTACCCTTATGACATCCCTCATAGGTGGGAATAAAATTTTAGTTTTCCGGTGACCAGAGAACAGGGCCAAAGATAATTTGTGTTTTGCCCTTTTTTTTTATATTTTGATCTAACGAGTCTAGAATTCAGGAACAGCACATTTTGCTAATAGATTTTGGGAAAAAAATAAATCATAAACCAGTTGCACTAAACGTTAGTTATGAACCATATTAGGTCTCGGATTTAATGTTTTGTTGCACATAGTTTCTTGTGATTAAACATGTTCTTGGCAAGAGACAATTATACAAACATGGGAGGTAACTCTGGCTAGCTTGTGATTTAGTTAGTTAACAATATGTACGAAGGGAGAATATCGACATGAAGGTAAAAGTATAGGATGTTAAAAGTATTAATCGTTATAGGGTATTTTTTCAGCGGTAATATTTATATTTATGCAAATTTCAGTAACATAAACTTGTTTTTCATTTGAACATATTAAATTTTTATAACATCAGAATCATACACTTTTTGTCAGAAGAAATTTTGCTATACGGTTCAACGGAACTCAGCTACGAACAAAACATTGAAATATTCTTGGCATTTCAAACATTCATACTCAGTAGCAAAAGATTTGTCATATGATTTCAAACAATTTGTTCAACAAGTCTACAGTGCATATTTATATCTTAAATAATTGTGTCCGTTCAGAAACATGCACTTTATTATTGTATTTCCGATGTATCTGATTTTTTTTTCTCTCATCTTGTGTTCACAACCTTATTATATGTTTTATTTGTTTTCCATCTAGTGTAACATTGTTTAATTTTATAAATTCTACTCCTTGGTTTGTGAGAATAAAGATATATACTATATAGTATTACAATATGAAATGATCTTATTTGAATTAGGAAACGGATTAATATAAGTTAACAGCTTGTTTCCGGATCCTATTAATTATTCAATTGTATCTGAATATGTAAATGCCAAATTGTGTACATTATTTAACTTGAATTTAATTATTAATAATAAAATATGTTTACACTAACATATTGAATGACACAGATATAAAACCATGATGAAATGATTGATTGTTGTTTGATTAACGTCAAATATTTCATGCTTATTTAGGACAAGAACAAACTAACAACTAATGCAATAGATTGGCCCTGTAAAGCTCAAGCGGGAGGTGACCGATAGGCTTTGTATTATAGTCTTGACAATAAACATTAAAAATATGTACTGGCCAAGTGCTCCAATATTGGAGGGATTTACGAAAGAAGAAATGGCATTTGTACTTGTAAATAACGAAAAACGGATACAATTGGTAATATAATGGTCTTTCAAACTCGAGAAAGTTTCACGGATATATTTTATCTGGGGGTTATCGTCCAACGATGATACTATTCTGAGAAACCTCCTCTCGTATTTATAACCATAAATCATCTTTAATTCCTCTATAATAAAGTTACCGTTTCCTCTCTTCCACTGGAGATGCCCTTTTCCTTGAAATAGAAAGTCCAGTTAAAACGTGTGTACAAGAAATCGAATTAGCGTCATACAAAATGTATGTATTTGATAAAAAGATCGTTTTTTTTTTATTATTATCAAAGTTTTAAGGTCAATATCCTCAAATCATTCTAAAGGAATGTATGTCCTGTTATTGCTTCGATACCTAAGAGCGCAAGATAGATGTTCGTCTGATGACGGAAACCATGCAGTACAGTTGTGTGCGATAGATGTTCGTCTGATGACGGAAGCCATGCAGCGCACACAGTTGTGCTGCGTGGTTTCCGTCATCAGACGAACATCTATCTCACATAGTTGTGCTGCATGGCAAAGAAGTTTTTGAAACTTGGTAGTATAAATCGGCTCTTTTCCTAGATTTAGGATGCACATGGGAATTAATACATGATTTCCTAATCTGTCAATCTTACTGGATTTTAAGTCTACAGTGCTTAAATTGATAGGCTAAGCACAAACTGTTTGAGAATCAAATTTTGTATAGTATAAAAAGATCGAGACTCCCATTTGTGAAATGCGACCGAGTAGTCCATGGAACACTCGAATATTCTGATTATCCCTCAGTTTTGCAGATATCAATAACGGTATCCAAGTATCAACTTTCCGGACCTTTGCTTCACAGATATTACCGTCTTATGCCAATTGTTAGTAAACATAAGGACAGGACAGTTTTAATAAAAAGTCTGATATTTTAGAAAAATAAGCTTACTGTGATTTTCGTGTGGAATATGAGTTATGTAAACTTTAATTCTTCAGTGTTTGTCATACATAATGCTGTTATTTCTTTCATGAAAAAAAATACTTATGTTTTTAGCACTGATATATTCTTATTTGTATTTTATTTGAATTTACATTTTTCAGTATATATGCTTATAGAGGCATTTGTGGGTACCTCGCCTGCAAGTGCCTCGATGTAAAAGGGTAGTTTCTTAATAAATATGGTTTTGATATATATTGCAATGACGCTCTATGTTCATGATGAGTGTCCGATCGACACTTTAATCACAAAGAGAGATCAATCAAAGATTTACTCCCTCCAATGAAATGGTTAAGACGACGAGCGACGCAAGTCACACTACCTCACATGTACTTGTTGACCTGATTGCTCTCCATCTTTTTTTCTTGGTTAGTTTCTTTTCCGTCACAAATTTACTGTACAACAAATCACTCCCCAACCACCAACTTCTCCTAAAGCAGTCGTACGAACATAGAAACAACGAACAACACATGGTCCAGATAGCCAGAATTGTAAAAGGACAATATATGATTGATTTTACTGTATTTTACAATCTCATGTAAACATTATCCAAAGAAGTCTCAAATCTTTCTTGAACGTTTGAACACATCTTGTTCAAAGTTTAATTAATTAATTCAGAGGATTAAATGACAGTGTTACAAGATTACTTTGGTAGGTTATTTTTTTCCAAATAAATACATGCACCAAACGTGTAGTTGTTTGGTGTGTCTTGTTTTGTCAGATAACATGTTTCCGTTTTTTAATTTTTTTATGTATAACTAAATCTACATTTGATATAGTAAAATATTCACTTTGAAACGTGGGTTGCTTTATATAAATATTGTGAAAGTAAAATTCGTACAAATTTATTAATCTCTCTTTGTGGTGATTTATTTCTCAGAATAATGTTTATGGTTGTTGCTTCATTCTTTGAAATATCTCAGACATTACATGTATTTAATGAGTCCTAAGTCAAGTGCCATGATCCTGATCCCGACATTCATCCTGTTAAACAGTGATTCACTCGACAGTAGGAAGAGTATTTTTTAGCTTAATCACTTTGTATAAATGTATATGTACTGCAAGCTACAGGGCTTCGGATAGCGGATATACATTTTTAGTCATTGTAATTTCATTTGTTTTTCGTACGTATTTCCTCATGTTCCTGTCTATTTGCATTAAACAATACTATACATGTCCGTTTATTGAAATTCTAATTGTTTGACAATGTTAATTATCTAATGCAACTTGAGAGAAAAAACGAAATAACAAATCAAATTACAAAAATTAAAAAATATATATTCGCTATCAGAGTCCCTGTGCTGCAAGCAAGTGTTTACTTTTCATATTTTACTAATTTTTACTACATACTGTATATGTTTGTTTTTTATTTATTATAAGAAACATCATATTTTTTTTAGTAGTCATAATCAATTTTAGAATAACCTAATGGGTGTTGCTCATTGTTGAAGGCCGTGCGGTGACCTATAGTTGTTAACTTCAACATCATTTTGTCTCTGGTGGAGAGTTGTCTCATTGGCAATCATATCACATCTTCTTATTTGATATGTTTTCTAATTTACATTATTTTATTCACTTTTCATTTATTGGCGTTGACAATTTTCTTCCTAGAAAAATACGACAGTACTACAATTATGTAACTGCCTCCAGCGTAACTAATAACGACTATTTCAGAAAGACGTTGTCTTGTGTGCTGTGTAAAATACAGCAGCGGTCTGATTATGATAATCATAGAGCCACTTGTCAGTGGGTACTTTTCGTTTATATGCTTTCATATTTAGTATAAAAATGCTATGGATATATATATATCGACGAAACAGAAGTAAAAATAAACTATTTATATACATAAAACTTGTAACAAGAACATCAAAATCTCTAATAAGCGTTCTGAGATGATTTATAAAGTAACGGCCAACATTCTCAACTGTTATTGCGCAATGAACGGACTAAAATTTGTATGAAAACTGCTAATATTAATTCAATGCAATATTTTTCGATGCGTGAATAAAAGAGACCAACAAAATGAAACAACTGTAACATTAGGCAGACACTGGACAATTCTCTGGAATACAGCCCATCTGTAAGATAGAGACAATTTTGTTTGATACAATTGCAGAGATTTTGTTTCTCTTGTCCCAACGATTTGATTCTTGATAAGGAACGAAGATACAGTTATTTAAGCCTAACAGTTGGTCTTTATAAGGGATCTTTCCTTGCTCCCTCAAGTCCACAGCCGCGGCAGATATATGTTGTTCACGTAATGCCTCATATAAATCATAGTAGTTAATTACATGACCACGTGCTGCGTCGATTAATATAGCCGATTTCTTCATTTTTTGAAAAACGTCCTTGTAAAACAGTCCACTGTTCGTATTGTTTCCTCTGCAGCAGATACAAATGATGTCAGATTCTTCTAAAACTTTTTCAAATTCTTCATACTTGGCCCCTATTTCTTTTTCCTCTGGTTTAACAGTAAAATCACTATATTTAATTTCTGAGATACCCTTTCCTCGTAAACGTTTACCAATGGCAACAGCTGTGCTTCCAAGTCCAACTAGTCCAAGGGTCTTGCCTTTATACATTTTTTGAATCACATCATTTTTATTGACTGACTCATTTGCATTTGCATCTGGAAAATGAAATAAACAATTGTTTCATCATGTATATAAGTTCAGAAACATAGAAGTCATAACTTTTTTGTCTATTATGTAGAGGAAGCATGTGGTGATAAAAAAAATGTACTAAATGTATATACATTGTACTTTGTTGTCTTAGAAACAATCACTGTACATGTATGCAAAGATTGTATACTAATAACTAACAGATCTTAGAAAACAAAGCATATTTACAGTTGATGCATATTTTTGTCAACGATTTTCACACTGGTTGACAAAATGAATGGTGTTTAAAAAAACCTAATCTGTTAAACATATCTGCCATAATAAGATCCTTGCTCATGTTCTTAGAAAGAAAAACATTATAATGAAGCTGAAATTATCAAAACATTTTTTTCTAAAAGTGGTCAATGGGGAATAACTCTAATATATCACGTTGCTTACCTTCGTTTGATATTAACTGTCCTTCAAGTACAGCTACAGTTAAATCAGCCACAATTTCTGTAGATATGGATGGCATGGTTATAATTTGGATATTACGTCTGTTACATTCATCTACGTCAATGTGATCACAAAGCTCAGACAATGTTCCAATCACTTTCAAGGAAGGACCTGAAAATAAATAAAATTCTTCAAATATTTTTATATATGACATTTTTTTTTAAACTTTTTAATAAGGTAAAGCTTTTTTATTTATTCATCGGTTCCATGTAATAAGGGTCATAATTTATTTATTCATTTGTTTACTTTTTCGTTTAATCAAGAAAACAAATAAAAAACATGAAAAACCCCAACTAAACAGTTTCGATGACGTTTATCTACAATTTTAAATAACTGCAATTCATACTTCCTTATTTGAGCCTTTGATGACGTCTATTATTCAATATGTAAAGTTATTATTTTTTAAATCCTGTTTGACTTGTATCCTTTTTATAGAATAATAAACTAAAACGTCCTTAGGTAATTCTAAATTTAATAATGAACAATAACTAATCCCAATCCTTATCCCACGATCTCATTGTACAATTGCAATGTCATTTCTTTCAAGGAATTATATATCTAAATATACAATGCCATGTTTCTTTGTTATATTTTGTTTTTATTCTTCGTTTTGAAATTTTTTGATATTAGAAATATAAATTACACAGATTATTCTAGAATATAATTTAAAACGTTTGTAAGTTTCATATTGAAATGAATTTAATATTTTCTTATGACCTTTTTACTATTCTAAATGCCAGTAGGAATTCAGTGAGGATTAAGGTTTCAGAAGCCTTATTTTCTCCGGAATTTTATTCTGATTTACAAGCATGAAGGAGCAAACTGTTTCACTCTGATCTCTTTCTCACTTTCATTTTCAAAATAAAATTTAAAAAAACATTTCATGCATGAATCCGTTTCATTTGATCTTTGATTTTGAACTTCTTCAAACAAAGAACAAGGAAGTATTATTTTCCATGGAACTTCTCAGTAAGTGATCGATCCCTTTTAGTATTTTGTAAATTACATTGTTCAATTATGCATATCAAACACCATTTCTTTCTTTCGAAAAAAAGACTCTGAATGCAGAACAAAAAAAAGACAGGGTGATACGGAAAATAAAATGAATAGATTAAAGAAGTTAATGCATAGGTAGAAATTGTATGTTTAACCTGTGCCAAAAGAAAACAATTTATCTACAAGAGTGGTCACGAAGGTATCATTTCAATAAATACCTGTCAGTGTATTTACTCAAATGATGACACAGATACTTCTAAATGTATGTATGATGATGACCTAAATTTCTCTAGTGTGTTTATCCTGGATCTTAAGATTTGCTGTTTTTGTCAATAATAATTATGTCCCGTCAAAATACAGACAGATATGTGTTTGGTCGTTGTGAGATAGGATATTATGTTTACTTAGGTGACTATTATCTTTCTTTACCTGGTCAAGAGGGGTCAGAGAAAGTGGACTTTGATCTTATACCTGTGTCAAGATCACTGCAAACATTCACATTGCATTTATTTATATAAGTACACTGGCCTTTCGCGACATAAATACAATAATTGACTTGTGTACCTCTAATTTTTCTCACTTGAAAAAATTATAACTGTCAAAAGTTTAATAAAGGCTGGGTCAACAATGGTGAGACCTGAGACTACTTGCAACAGCTATTACAATCTCCCAAGATGCCCTAACCTCTGTGAAGAGTTTGTAAACATCCCTACCAAGCTGAAATTATTAAGTCTTCTAAAAATATGTTGGTTGGGGTAAACTTTCAGATTCTGTACGATGAGTAAAATCTCACACACACACCGAGTGCACATATTAAGATCGCTAGAGGGGATATATGTTTTCGATCTCATAATATTCATTCGAACCCGAAAGAATATGTATAATTTGTAGTTATTTCTTCGAACAATTTAGCCTTAGTCAAAACCAAAATAATAATCAGCGATTCACATTTCATACAAGGTATATAAATATTGTTACTGTAGAAACAAAACTAACTCGAGTACTTGAAGTTTTACTGTTACATTGTCCAGTCCCCCTCCCCCCCCCCCCCCCCCCCCCCCCCCCCAAAAAAATTATCATAATAATAGCTATAATAAATAAAATACGTATGATACCAGTATTATTTCATTTAAGCATATTTTGTACTGTACGTGACATAATATTGATTAGCAACAAACAACTTATTTTTTAAGAGGTGTGTTGATTTGAAGCAATCTGATTGGCTGAATCAAGGTTGTCGATCAGCTGTTCATAAAATAATTTGGTTACAAGACAATTTTTAGATATTTTTCCCCCAACACACGTATTTTCTGGTCTTTTTTTTTCTTTTTATAATGAAAATAGTAGTAATGAAAACAGTTACATACCTGCCCTATCCAAAACATCACGATCTATTTTGTCTGTTGGCATACATAACAGTGCATCCACGCCTTGTATGTTATTTAATAGTTCGCCTCTTGGAACCGGTTCGTGGCTATTCCAAAAGGAAACATTACCGTCTTCCAGTAAAACATCGAATGCACCTTGTGGAATCTGTCTTGTAACATATATCCTAGAACGTGGTTTCATCTTAACAGATTTTTTCAGTATTGATCCAGACTTATCCCCGACAACGTGTATAATGTTTTGACAGGTCGCCACACTATCTATTTATATATTATATGACGTCATAAAATTTTGTTGAGTTATAGTCTATTCCGCGAAATACTGTTATTATGTCAAGCGTCAATGTACAGGTAATACTAATTAATCTCACTAATTAATCTTTTAAATTAACCCATACTGTCAAATGACACATACAAACAAACAAGAGAACTTATAATCACTCGAGTTATAATGAGGGAAACAACAATAAAAAGTAATATTAAAATAGAATGAAATAAAGTCAGTAAAAAAATTTAAAAATCAGTAAATAAATTCATTTTGATTAACGTTACTAAATTAATTTTATTCATGAATAAACGGATTATTATATCAAGTTTTGTTTGTGTTTTTGGGGTTTCGGGAGGGGTCTATTTTTTGTGGGGCTTTAACTTTTTATATTCAAAAGTTTAGACTTGATAAATACTTAAGAGGTAAAAAGTTCACTAATGAAATTTTGAATAAATAAATTTCGAGTCTGCCTTAATTTTAGACACAAATAATTAGTATTTATCTCATGTATAATACGTAACGGTGAGAAAAGAGAAACCACTGCAAGCCTTGTAGTTGGTCATTTTTTCTGAATAGTTCTTGAAAATTAAAAAGCCTATTTTCTAGGAGCAAATATAAAATCGGCGCAAATGAAAAAATGAAATCGGCGCAAATGAGAATGAAAATTTTAAAAATCGGCGCAAATGTCATACGCCCCTCAGAAACCATAGAACTATATAATGTAGGATGAAGGGAGCTACCATGTAGAAGACGGGCGTATGACGATTTCATTTTTTCATTTGCGCCGATTTTATATTTGCTCCTAATTGCCTTTACAGTTTAACATAGGTGAGTAAATACTGGCTTTACATATCGGAAGGTCTGTGCAAATGATCGCGAGAAAGGTATACTTATTTTTTCTACACACCTCAATCTTGAATGTCTTTGCAATGATATGTCTGCAATATTTATAGATTGAACTTTTAAGTGCTGTCCGAAATAATTTTATCAGTTATATAATTTACACGGATCCATGCATGTCAAAATGGAAACTACGCGTACCTCTAATTTACGCCCTCTTACCAGCGAAAGATGAACAGTGTTATGAAGTGATGTGGAAAATAATTTGCGATCTCTGCCGTCAAAACAACTTTCCTTTGTGGCCGTGGTTATGCATATTGACTTTGAACAAGCAATGTATAACGCAATTATGGATGCTTTCCACAATGTAGAATAGATTGTTGTCGTTTTCATCTGGCTCAGAATTGGTTGAGGAAAATCCAGTCTGTTGGGCTGAGCACAGAGTATAAAGACAAATTAAGTGACATTGGTAAATGGATATCCCAATTGATTGACAATTCATAACATTTGTACAACTTGCTAACGGAAGAGGTCTATGATGATAAATGAAAAATAACATTCACCTGTAATTTACCTAATTTACCTGTAAAAAAATGGGCGCAAATGAAAAAATAATCGGCGCAAATGAAATACAGATCGGCGCAAATGCAAAACGCCGTTTCTGAGTTAGCGTGGTGGAGAATAGTTCAATCCTAGTTTCATATAGTAATGTCCTGAACTCACAGTTCCTAGAAGTCCTAACCACGAGGGCTGACTAAGGTATAGAAAAACGGTCATCCATTGGTATTCTTCCGACCAACAATAAAATGCTTGCAAAAGTGGAGCGTCCGTTTGGCTTCGTGGGATATATAAATTCGAAGCCACGTCTGGTCAGAATGGGGACGTAAAATTCGATGCCTCATGTTTAGAGAGTGCTACGCTCTCTACACGTTAAAAACCCTTGCAACAAGTATAAGAGGGAGGGATCCGTGGGTGGCCTGTTTCAAGGCTAAATTTCTGTCCTGATCCAATATACCCTACCCTCATGTTTCAATTGCATTCCTACTTACTGACCCTATAAGTATTACAGGACCTACATCATACTATTAATCGTTAATTCGTTCTCGTCCGAAACATGCATGAAATATTTGCTACTGAACGTTTAACAAACATCAATCAACCAATCAATCAATCAGAAATCCTATAACAGTGGTGAGGATTGAACATTGATTAAATCGACACAAAAAAACTCAACTGCATGTTTATATATGCGATATAGAATCTTGAATGACTTGTGTACAATATAAAGATAAGATAAATTGTATCAGTCAGTACTTTCGACCGAAATATAAACATTCAACTTCTGAATGAACAAGAGTACAAAGTCCAAATATATTTATGTCACGCGATATGTAGTTCATTATTGTTATATTTATGTTGACAAATAGAAAGTTTGCGTTAAAAGGGGTCTTTATATGTGTCAGGTCAACATGCAAAATGACCAAATTAAAAAGGCTTTCAAACTTTTTTAAGGTGTAACTTTTTTTTTATCTTTATCATCATGTGATTATTAGATTTATTGAAATTCTTGATTTATAAGTTCAATATGACCATGGAACATTAAAACAACTCCATGAATACAGTTATAAATATGTGCAGTAAATGCAAAAAAAACCATTAGAGATGTGTATGTTTGATATGTATGTATATATGTTTATTGTGTTAATACATGTTTGTCACAAACTGTAAAGTTTATACGACAATAAAATATTTGATTTGATAATGTTGATTAAACTAAGAAAAATCTCAAAGCGCCAAAACAATAGAAAATAAAAAGTAAAAATAGACTGTTATCCATCAAAATAACTTAAAAGGTTATTTAGTCAATTTTTCCCTTTTGCTATTGCATCAGCACGTTTATTCAGGTTACCACGGCATGGCGTTGCATCATGGAGGTGTATCGCTTTTCGACCATCTGATTGGTGAAAACATGTAAAACATTGCATCAGGACATAGCATGGGTCAATTCATACATAATTATAGTTCATTTCTTGTATATATACACAATGACCGGGTATATTTGTTGATCAAAGATACGAGGTTATTGACTTTATAAATGATCTAAGTTATATATTCCGATCGAACAGTGGTCTTTGACATTCTGACAAGATTAAGTCTTTATATCTATATAGAAACGGACAGGATAGAGGGAGACCGTGGGAGAAAGGGGGGGGGGGGGTGAGGTATTTTTACAGGGGGGTAATTTTATATGATACTTTTTCGTGAGGGGGTATCGACCAGTTCACTTTTCAGGGCGCAGGACATTTGGGCTAATATGTGAACATGGTATAATTTGGACTAAATCTTTGGATTGAAGTTTATATTTGGGTTAATTATTTTTTAACCGGTACAGGTACATTACAGGTAAAATTTATCATGATCAATATTTCAAATGAAATGATAGCTAAGATATTAAATAAGAAAAATCAAAAATACAACCTACATAAAAAAAATCCGGTTATTGGGCAACCATGCTAGTTACAAAAGAAAAGTACTTTAAGTGATACACCATTTAATTGAAATGAGTTTACGATGATGATCAGCCAGTATCACAAGATTACAGTTTTTAAACGCTGTAAGATTTAAATTTAGGACCAGAACCAATCTTGAGAAAAATCTATTAGATATCCTTTTTTTTTATATTAGCATAGCTGTTTTATACCTTCACGTTGTACACAGTTTATTACATTTTGAGTATTAATATATAATTTATAGATATAGATATTTTTAATGTAATGTACCTTTACATGTGAGAATTCGCCCAAATGTCGACTTAAAATTTAGCCCAAATGTCGACATGCCATTGGCCCAAAAACGTAACATATTTTTAGCTCAAATGTTATACTTATTATCCCAAACGTGCATCTCCCTTTTATTTTTTGATATACAGGTAGTGAATAAATTTAACAATTTCAAATAACTTTATGCAATATTTTTTACTAACACAATATCTAGACTTTGAAAAATAAAGAGGTAGGACCGATTTCCCCTGAATTTATTTCACACCAGGGCCATTCCAAAAACGTCTTTCAATCTTAAATACGTTAAATTCATGGTACCAGAAATTTTGGCAAATATAGATCTAGAGAATGAATAAGAATAAGAATATTTATTATTCCAATCAAAGGCCCTTGATGGGCAGCATGACATGTACGCATAAAACAATACATCATGATTTGTAACAGAAAAACATTTTTTTTATATAAGAATGAAAACCTACACCAATACCAAATTATATTGCAAGTCAAATTTTATATTGTCCATCGTCTACAATTTAATTCATTTTGGTTAGCAACATCCTTATATAGATGCTATAAATTTTTTTTTTTTTTATCAATATGCTTTAACATCAACATGTACAAATCTAAGTGTTAATAAATAGAACACTGCTTGAACGCTTTTTTGTAACACTTTTTGAACGTGTAATGGTGTTCCAAATGTTTACACTAGTGTTCATCAATTGAATGTGTGGTGTTCAGTTTTTAATGCCTTTGTGTTTCATTTTTGAACACTTGATGTTAGAGTTCTTAACACTTAGTGTTCAACGATTTAACGTGTCCGAATGTTCAAAATCTTAATACGTCGACGCGTTCAACAGCCATGTAACACTTTTTGAACACATAGAACATGTTTAAAGTTAAAGTGTTAAGATTCAGAACACCAGACGTTAACTTTCAGAACAGTTGACATAAGTGTTCAAAGTGATGTTGTTCAAATGTGGAACATGTTCTATTTTCAAGCGTACATAATTTTCCACAAGTACTCAACTTAAATAAACTGTTATAAAAACTATATTCAATCAGGCAAAATATAACAATAAAACATATTTTAACAAGTAATTCTTTATGTAATCAAATGAGCATATTATATGTAAGAAAAGTACACCAGATACCTTATGATATCACAAGTAACAGTCAGTGAAATCACATACATAATGTTTTTAAACTGACTTAATATATATCACAAATAATGATTTTCCCCTACATGACTAGATAGTTGCAACATCATTTGTATCCAACCAGAAAAAGCATGTCAATGTGATAATTAGATCGTTTATGATATAGGTATTTGTCACAATGAAAGTTTAAAAGTTTGCAAATTCCAACAGTTCTTGTACGATC